AGACCTTTCAGGGGGTCTTGGCTGGTCAAACCTGATGTATCTTAATCTGGAACAAATCCATAGCCTCTGGCTTTCTGTGGAAACAAAAGCAGAACCTCTTTTCCAAAGCAACATATCCTTAAATCCAAATTTTGAAGTTAAGGTTCCCCTAAAATATACATATTGGTTTAATTGAACATCTTTTCGATCAAATGTTTTTTTGCAGTTAAAAATCCCAAAGACAACACAATCCAGATTGTCTGTGTAACATTCATCTTTACGTGGCTTTTTTTATATTAATTTATCTTTTTTTGTCTCTTTCAAGGCTACATATTGTGAATCTATTGCTTTAAACTGCAGTATTTTAAGACTGAAACGGTGCTGTGGCTGCTGGCTCTGCCCATTTCAGCTTACCAACACGGCGTTTTCCTCCAGTTCTGTGAGTCATCAAGTCTCAGAAATAGTGGGTCTAAGCTTTTATCAAAGCAGCGTGTAGCCCAGAAACATTTTTTTTTTTAATTTTTTTTTTAAATAATAGTAAAGACTAAATCTACCACACAGCTTAATGTGCCACTGGCAGACACCTCATTTCCGCCATACTGCTGGTCAAACGCACGCCAGGAACCGGCCAGTGTTCAAACCTGCGTTTTGCGGCATCTAGCTGCCCATATAAGACAAGAAGCAGGAACCTGGTTTTGGCTCTGTTTAGAATTGGTTATTAAATATTCTCAGGTTTAAGGTGGAAACTAGAGCCATTGGGCACCAATAGTGCTTTCTGACAACATTTGACAATATAATTAGTCTTTCTTCAAGGCAAATCTGACAACTTAATTAGCTTATATTTCCTTTACCTGGATGCTTCTGAAACTCAAATTCTCCATTTTCCTTTTAAAACAGTCTACTTCTATCTCTAAGGTGTGCAGGGCCTTCCTAATCTTTTGACTTAGTTGTCTTTCATTCTCCTGGCTTTAGAGAGCCTTGACCATCAGAAGACAAAGTGCATGTGTTTGAGAACACATGGGTGCTTCTGTCCCTCGGAGCTTCATACTGGCACTGCTCCCTTATGTACCCGTTACGTTTCTGTTGCTGTGATAAAATGCCACAAGCAGTGGCGACTTAGGGAAGAAAGGGTTTGTTACGATGTCAGCAGACAAGAGGGGAAGCGCAGCACCAGAGGGCAGGGCAGGAAGTTGCCTGCTTTTCATACCCACACAGGAACCAGGAAGCAAGAACAGGAAGTAGGGTGAGGCTGCCAACCCCAAAGCCTGACCTCAATGATGTAGTGCCTCCAGCATGGCTCTGCTTCCTGGAGGTCTCACAACCTCCGAAGGAGCATCACTACCTGGAGAATGTTCAAATGTATGGCCTCAAGGGGGACACCTCTCATTCAGTTCACTACATTTACGAACCCCAAACAGTGCCACAGGCAGGGGACCAAGCGTCCAATACATGAGCCTGTAGGGACGTTTCTAATTTGAACCACCACAGCTCTAGGCACTTTTAGGTTCCAGGGAAACATTTTTTTTAATGTCTCTCACTTTATGTTCTCAGCATAAAAAAAAAATGTCTCTTTTGCACATCCTCCTGTCAAAATGCCATCTGCCATATGGTGATGTGGCCGTCACTAGAGGCAGCACAGATGGGACCACCGATCTTAGACTTCTAACCTTCAAAACGCTGCTAAATAAAGACTCAGGTATTTTGCTATAACAGATTTCCTTATGGCATTTTCTTATATATTCATTTAAATTTACTATTTTCTGTAATCTCCCTTTCCTCTCTCTCCTCATCTATATCTGGATATTTCACCTGGCCTTGCTTCCTGCTGCTTCTAGAACCACAAGTCCTGGGTAAGTACGTCAGCAGCTCATCTCTTCTTTATTCCTCATCCCTGACCCTCCCCCTTGACATCTCACTGTTTGGGACCCTCACCCCTGCTGATCACATGTTTGAACACCTGGCTGTTTGGAGGAACTGGCTCAGGTGACTGGTTTTGGGTTGGAAGTTGGAGTGCTGTGCTCAGTGAGCAAGTCTGAGGTCTGCAGAACAGCGTAGACTCTCAGGTAAGTGTACCTGTTGCAGTTTTGAATTTGAGACCCATAGAGTGTGCCAGTGGCCTGGAAATGTGTACAATGTAGGGCTTCTGTGAGGCAGTCTTGAGGATGGGCTCTTTCTTTGGAAAGTCTGTAATTCCCACTTGAGGCCTTCAGCAGATTAAAGAGTCTACACATAGACAAGAAGGCTGCTCTGACTTCAGTGGTAATGGCATCTAAAAAGCAACATCTACACTCATGTTTTCACAAACAGCTGGGCACTATGGCCTACTCAAGGTGAATGTCTAGTGTAAACTGATCACAGACACACTGGGTAGCCCTAGTCAATTTTATTTCCCCTGGGCTCAGTGTTTCTATGTACAAGATGGAGTTAGTCCACAGAAATGTCTGTTCTAGGTAGTGAACAGCGTGCTTGTGGTTGGTCCCTCTCTCTGCCTCCTACTTTGGAAAGACAACTCCCATCTTGCCTTCTGTAGGCACCTCCATTTACACACTTCCAAGGAGCCTGCAGCCCAGCCCGAGTGGCTACCACTTGATGATAGTTCCCTGCCCACACTGACATACTGAGCTGTGTCTCTCCCTACAGAATCTAGGTAGAGAGTGCACGTTTGGCTGCTTGCCTGCCAGTGGCTGGATTTGGACCCGAACTTGTGTCTGGTACTAGGTCCAGGTTTAACCTGTGGCTGGGGTTTAGAATCCTTTAATTTGACTTTTGGCTTCTCAGCAGGCGTGGGCATAGATTTCTGAAGAGGGTTTTTTATTTTTTATTTTTATTTTTTTTACTATATGTATGCGTGTGGTGTGCATACATCTGTATGTGTGTTTTGCTTGTTAGTGAGTGCACTTGTGCATGTGGGGACACATATGTATGGAGGCCTGAGGTTGACTTTGGGTGTGCTCCTTGATTGCAGTTCACTTTATTCACTGATGCACGGTCTCTCAATTGAACCCAGAGCTGAAGAGCCGGCTAGTCAAGCCAACCAGCTTGTTCCTGAGATTTTGTGCTGTCTGAGTGCCGGGATGGCAGGTAGGCCGCCACGCCCACTCAGCCTTCCCGTAGGTGCGGGGGTCCTGAGCCTGAAGCTTGAGCTGCCAAGTGCCTTATGCAATGAACTCTCTCCCTGCTTGGGAGGGAGATTTTGTGGGGAGGGAGGAGCTCAGGAGGGCGATGGCATTCTGTGTGGGTGGACAGAGTGAGTGATGGCTCGGGTGATCTGTGCCTTGCCTCTGGGTCTGTGGTGACCGTGCCACCCAAATGGAATCATGCCCCTAGTTAGGGATGCTCATGTGAAGCTTGACATCAATGGAGAGCGCAGAGAGAACAAATATTCTGAAGACAAACAGATTGAAAATGTGCTGATGACCCTAAAATTTACTCAGTGATCCAGAAACTTCAACAGTAAAGCCATTAATCACAATGTTGTCAGAGTGGAAGAGAGAGAAACTGTGGCAATTCCCTTGGAACCAATTCCATGCAATGCCTGTTTCAAGCCCTGACTACTTGGACCTCACTGGGTGATTCAATTATTATTTGTCCTGTATGCTCCTGAGTAACACACCAGAGTGGCATGCATGCGTGCATGCGTGCGTGTGTGTGTGTGTGTGTGTGTGTGTGTGTGTGTGTGTGTGTGTGCGTGGTCTGAGTTACCGAGATGGAATTGACTCTTTGACTTCCAGGTTAGCAGCCTGGTCTTCCTTGCACGAGTGCCACTACTGTCCCGTTGTGTCAGATGTTCAAAGTGCGACAGTAAGAAAATGTTAAAATAGGGACAGGCCCAGGAACTCACCCTCAGATTACATGGCAGCCTGCGAGGGGCAGTAATGCCTCTTTGATTCTCTCTGTGTCGTGTGTATGTGCTCACATGTCACATGTGTGTGGAAATGTGCGTGTACATGTATACATGCATGTGGAATCTTGAAGTTGATGTTACACATCTTCCCCGACTGCTCTCTACTTTATACGTTGAGGTAGGGTCTCTCTCTGAACCCAGAGCTCACCAATTCCAGCTAGCCAAGCTAGCCAGCTTACCTTGGGATTCCCTGTCTCTAGCCTACGAGTGCCATGATTGCACGCAGGCTGCCGTGCCTGCTCAGCTTTTCTGAGGTTCTGAGGATCTGAGGGTAGACTCCCATCTTCATCTCTGTGGGGCAAGCATTTGATTCACTGAGCTGTCTCCCCAGCAGCACCTTCTTGATTTCTGAACAGGACATTGTCACGTTCCATGTGTCCCAGGATGCCTAAGAATGAGGCCCAACACAAAATTTTGGACTTTCTTAAAGCATTATGAGGTTAACAACAACAGCAACAACCACAACAGCAGCAACCACACCTCTGCTTCACAGTTCCCAGGATGATGGCCATGTTTTGCTTTGTCACAGTGTCCAAAGGCAGAACTTGCCCGCATCCTTAGCTCCTTTACTTGTTCTCCACTTCCACAACTCTAAGTCTACAGAGGGCAGGACTCTTGTTTTGACTTTGCATACAATAGTTTTTATGGATTGATGAAATAATATCTTTGCAACTGGCATGCTCACTCCTGAGTTCTTTACATATGCAGATGCTCCTAGAGTTACAGTGGGATTAGGCTCCAATAAACTCATCATAAATTGAAAATACCAGAAGCTCCATCTTACACACCTAACCTCTCAGCAGTTGAGGGGCAAGAAGGGTTCTGAGATTTTTAAAATGAATTAATCCTGTTCTGGGACCATTTCATACACGCACACAATGCATTCTGATTGCTCTCCCACCTTCTAGATCTCCCTCCCACCCTTGTCCACCCCCTTCCCTACAAGTCCTTTTCCTGATTCATGGTTTTTGTTTTTGTTTTGTGGCCCACAAAGTTTGACAGCTGCCATCTGTGTGACTGGGGTTTGGAGCTGTCCCCTGGGGCCAGGTCAACGCACCAGGGGTACCCACCAAAAACAACAATGGCCTCTCCTTCAGAATCCCAGTGCATCAGAGACAGGTAGAACCCATGTCCTCTGAAGCTGGAGGATGTACAAGATTTCCTTGGTATAATTATTTGTGTGTGTGTGTGTGTGTGTGTGTGTGTGTGTGTGTGTGTGTGTG